GCCGACAGTCTAGCCGTCGGCATAGTTTCAACCTAAGCCGACGGCCAGCCCGTCGGCATAGACCTGCCACGTGGCAGCCACTGGGAGCTCCTGGAGCAGGCCTATGCCGACGGCTTAGTTTGAAACTATGCCGACGGCTAGGCCATCGGCATATACCTGCCACATGCCTTGCCGTCGGCATAGTTTCTGTCTGTTTTTTCTTTCTTTTTTCTGTTTTGTTTCAGCTCAATTCATTTGAATATATACAGCACACAACAAATATATGCATCACATAACAGCTGACCCAGCAGCACCACACAACAAATTCATCATCACACATCATAAGAAGCATCGCAAAGCATAAACATATAAGTATCATCACCACCAAGCATAAGAATCTCACAAACAACAATAAGAAACATCACAAGCATATAAGTATCATCACCACCAAGACCGCCACAATGTGACCCAAAGGCTTAAGCGCCAGTACGTCGAGCACCACGGAGGTCGTCACCGCCAAGACCGCCGAAGTCCAAGTCGTCACTGCTAGCGGCGGCGCTACCGGCAAGACCGCCTCCTCCTCCGCCTCCGTGGATCGGAGTGGTCGGGCTCCGTGTCTCCAGAGTGCTGCGAAGACCACCGCCAACGGTAGATGCACCTGTTCCCTGCATGTTGAAAAGACATATGCACGGGATCTATGACTGTGTTGAAAGGCATGACATGCTTTGGGTGAATAGATTGGGGATGAACTAACCGGCGAGGGGCCAGCGTTCTGTGCCACAAACTCCTCAAAGCTCATCAGCACGGGTTGTGCTGGAGGGCATTGTGCTGTAGGGAACTGAGGATCGATGACGTGGCGTAGGGCGGGGATCAATGACGTGGCAAAAACCATGGGCCAGGCCTATGCCGACGGCCTAGCCGTCGGCATAGAAATGCCACCCCACGGGACCGGCGAACGACGCGGATCGATGACATGGCGGCGCGGCGGATCGATGACGTCGGCGTAGCTATGCCGACGGCCACCGTTAGCCCGTCGGCGTAGCCTGACGCCGTCAAACTGCCGTCGCCGCCCGGGTAGACGGGCCCACGTGATATGCCGACGGCCCCCGTCGATATATTCGGAGAAACGCCGACGGCTTATCTATGCCGACGGCCCCCGTCGGCATAGATGGTTATACGCCGACGGCCTTTCTACGCCGATGGCTTTAGTTGGGCCGTCGGGGTATGCCCATATATGCCGACGGGGCCGTCGGCATAGATATGGCCGTCGGCAACTGCCTAAATTCTGGTAGTGGTTGATATGCTGGAATCTGACCTACGCCGCTACCAACTAGGTGTGTCTTGGGATCCTGGAGGGCTTGCATTGTTGTTGATAAGGAAGTTGACTCGATGGAAGGTCTTTCAAGGAGGGAGGTGCGCCATGATCTTGATTGCCCGTTGTCTTGTCACCTTATTCCTAGCTTCTACACTTCAGTCGTCAACAATTATATGATGATGGAGGTGATCAGCAAGAGAGCACATGCCATGGGTGTTATAGTGCCATCTACCTGCTCCGATCAAGAACATTCTCAAGGAGGGAAGGGTGTCATCCCTGTCGCAGCCCGCTTCGCGCAAGGCTTCGTTGACCATAAGTACTACATCGACTTCAACAATGACTACTTCCTCGACGGTTCCTTCGGTTGGGTCGCCATCGTCCACGACTACTACCCCCATGTTGTTAAAGCCATCTCCGCCTTCGGCTACCACTGCGACTTTGAGCTAGTCAAGGACCATCGAGTGCAATGGGACCCGAACAGTTTTTGGTGGAGCCGGCTTGGGGTCAAGCCAAATTTCAGGAAGGGAGGGATGTTAGGAGCCATGGATTTGGCCCGTCCAAGGCCATCGCTGCAACTACTTAAGCGAGGCGCACAGAAGGAGAGGGTATCCGGTATTCCAGTGGATCACGGCAAGAACGGCGGCGGCTACAAACTCCTTCCCCTTCCTCGAGTTCTTCCTCTGTATCTTCAGTTCATGTAATCTGTGCTACACTTGCTACAATTCCTAAGAGAAAGAGAGAGATCGTGAGTAATACAACAGTGCCCTAACAGTTATCATGCTCCTTGCCGAGTCGAGACAAGAAAACCTACTACGTATTCCATCTGTGCGTTTAGATCACTACTATGTTTAGATCACTAAAGTAATGATCTAAATGCTCTTATATTTCTTTATGTAGGGAGTACTATACATCATCTGATTCTTCCCCGAATGATTCTTCCCTGGAATTGGGAAGAAGGAGAAGCATGGCGTGCACAAGGCAGAAAATACGCACAATCCTACATTCTGCCGCTGAGCACGGCGGCGGAGATGGAGTGGACAGCCCGGACGAGCTCGGCGGACACGAGGAGCACCGTGGCCGGCACGCTGAGCAGCACCAGCGCCACGACCCCCGCGCCGAGCCCCGGCCGCGCGCGCACCAGCAGCGCGAACAGGATGCCGAGCGCCTCGCGCACGCCCGCGACGTACAGCCCGTGGTGCCGCCGCTCCAGCTCCGTCCACTCGCCCGGGGGCACGAAGACGTCCACGCCGCCCTCCTCCTCCTCCTCCTCCGGCTCTTCCACTTCCTCGTCCTCCACCTCGCGGATGCGCCGCCGCAGCGCGGCCATGCCCTCGTCCACCATCCGGCCGTCCCACGGCGAGCCCGCGGGCTCCCACTCGCCGCCGCCCCCAGACGCGCGGCAGAGGACCACTCTGCTCCCAACTGCGCGACGACGACGAGCGCCGAACCGAACCGTCGCCGTGGCGGCGACGACGCGAGATGGTGACCGGAGGCCGCGCCGGTCGGAGAGCGCGCGCGGTGCGCTGCTCCAAGCGCCGTGGGCTCTTCCTGCCGCCGCCGGCGCCATGCGCATTGCTGCCAAAATAAAATACGACGGATGGCCCGTACGTACGTCCCGAGCAGGCCACGGCGGCAACGATCGAGAGCGTGGGCGCGCGCGGGAAGCTCGACGCAGAGGTGTTACGTTGCTTGTGCTCGGCGTCGGGGTCGCGTGCTGGTTTATATACCGGCGAAGGAAGGCACCAAAGGGTGGCGTGGAGTGGCGGGGCGGGGAGGCGTGCGCTGTGGTGGCGGAATTTCCCGTGGCAGAGCCTTAGCTATGCTGGCCGTAGGGCGGGGGAAAAACGTGCGGGGAATGGGTTGCTTGGCTTGGGCGGGAAGAACACGCGCAGGGCGGCGTCGCGTCGGCAATTCCTTGGGGTTTTCCTCTCTTTCGGCCGCGCGGTTTCGGCTGTGGCGTGTGCGGGCCGCGTCGCGTCCGCCCCTCCCCTGTTGGCGCACTTCAGCTGCTCGGCACCTGGTGACTGTTTCACGGTCCCGCTGTCAGGCGGAAGCTTCCTCCCGACAAGCCTTTTTCTCCACGGCGCAACGGACGACGGGATTATCCGACGGGGTATTGCCCAACAATTCCATCGTAGAATAGCTCCGTCTGAGTTCGGGAAGGATGCATGAACCGATGAAACGGATGGAAAATTTGTGACACGTTTTGGAGGAAACAAACGTGTTTACTGTTTACAATGACACTTTCTGTGCCACATGTTTCTTTCACATGAAGAAATGGTTGCATGACACAAATGTCTTGTGTACATACTGTGCTCCAGAAAATACATAGAAACAACTCGGCGTCGTCTCGAAAAAACTTATAATATTCGTGATTAGTACTAATATGTACCAAAATAGTACAAGAGTGGCCTACAAAACGTATTATATTTTGATACGGAGGGAGGAGGGAGTAGCATTTTTTCTGTATTCGCCATATGATTTGCCAAATGGAGCAGATGATGAATTCCCGGCATGATTTGGAGAAACCAACGCGAAAGGAATATTTTAATGAGATATATACATAGGATGATAGGAACTAGCTAGAAACAACTTTTGTTTTAGTTGAGCTACAAACAACCGTGCTCGAGAAAATACATGGAAACAACTCGGAAAAAATGATGATGATCAAAGAACGATTCCAGTGGACAGTTCCAGCAATTATGATATCCATGATTACGAGTAATTTATTTTTCCTACAACCCTTCCTGGCAAATAGGCATGATTAAAGATAAAGACCTGGAACCGGAAACCCAACAGTTCAAATTGAGGAACACCACCTAGAGAATGTATTTCCAGGATGGGCCGTCGTACAAGACCAGATTTAAGCTTCTTTCACACAAAACCATAATGAAGCAACTGTAGTTTACACTTCACTTATTTCGCCTTACTGTATTCACAAGATATGACGCTATTCATGATAAAACTACACAAACGTCCACAGATTGACAGCTCGGAACAGACGCATCAATCATTCCTTGGGCACTTACGAGGTGATTGAAAAAGGTCACGAATGAAATACGGGTCCACAAGTCACCATGGAAATACAGTAATGTCAAAGGAATAGCTGACAGTTGTGGCCTCAGGTTCTAACAGCATCCTGATGATCCTTGACCCCGGTTGCCACCCACCACGTCCACGGTGTCCGGCATATACCTTCAACAGCGTAGCATTTCCATAAGATCACAAAGTGAAGCATAAAAGCAAATTAAAATATATACACGCTAGTCCTACAACTATCTGAACATAAACCACGGGAACGAATCAATCAGCACCAAAGGCAACTAAATGAACTATTGACACTTCAATATTACATCTAGCCTTCCTTTCTGTATTACTATATGATATATTCACTTGCAGCGAATGCAGTTCAACTTCATCAAAGATAATAAAGAGAGTAAGAGATATTGTGCTTACAGTTCTTCCTCTGGCTCGTTCTTCAGAGCGTTCTTTACTATACATTGGAAAGCTTCCTCCACGTTGATTCCATCCTTGGCAGAAGTCTCAAAGTATGGGATGTTCCCTTTAGAGGCACACCATGCCTTCGCCTTTTTCTCAGAAACCTAAATGGAAGCAGTTTACGTATCCCTAAGAATCCATCGGAGAGCAACTATTTACTGAGAAAAGGCAAAGCATAAAGTGAATATAGGTAATTACCACACGACTGTTCCCGCCATCTACATCAACTTTGTTACCCAGCAGAACAAAAGGGAAGTTATCAGGATCTGATGGGCTAGCCTGTCAAAGTAAACACCTGAAGTGAGACAGGCATAACATGATTCTGGACTGTTAATGAATTATGAAAAATAATTCACCTGAATTAGAAACTCTTCACGCCAGTTGTTCAGATTATCAAATGATTTCATCGAGTTAACATCATAAACTAGAACACAACAATCTGCTCCGCGGTAGAATGCAACACCAAGACTTTGAAACCTCTCCTGACCGGCAGTATCCCATATCTACACAGAAACATATGTTAATCCACACACACAAAAAATCTGTCTAAGCATCATATATAAGCAGTCATAATAGAATATGGTAGTGAAAAATATACAGAATCACAGATACCAGAAAACCTCAAGAAACAGATTTCTCATGCATCCATTAGCAACGCACTTTAACAGAATCATTCAGAAAACAAAGAGCCGCTAAGAAATTGTCTGACATTTCAAATAGCAGGAGTTAACATGAAAAATGTAAAGTTTGCTAGTTCGTAGGGGTTAAGAACATATGATGAGTAAAGAGCAGGGATGGGGCAAAACCACTTTAACAGAACCATTCGGAAAAAAAAAAGGGAAACGCTAGGAAACAGCTTGATATTTAAAATAGATGGGATTAACAAGAATGCACCACTTGCTAATTTGTAGGGGCTAATAGCATAGGTTGAGTGAAGAGCTGGTATGGGGCAAGCCTGCTTTAACAAAATCATTGAAAAACAAAGGAGCTGCTAGGAAACGGTTTGGCATTTAGGATAGTTGAAACTAACATGAAGAATGCACCGCTTGCTAATTTGCTAGGGGTTAATAGCATAGGTTGAATCAAGAGCAGGTATGGGTCAAGCCCGCTTTATCAAAATCATTCAAAAACAAAGGAGCTCCTAGGAAACGGTTTGGCATTTAGGATAGTTGAAACTAACATGAAGAATGCACCGCTTGCTAATTTGCTAGGGGTTAATAGCATAGGTTGAATGAAGAGCAGGTATGGGTCAAGCCCGCTTTAACAAAATCATTCAAAAACAAAGGAGCTCCTAGGAAACGGTTTGGCATTTAGGATAGTTGAAACTAACATGAAGAATGCACCGCTTGCTAATTTGCTAGGGGTTAATAGCATAGGTTGAATGAAGAGCAGGTATAGGTCAAGCACGCTTTAACGAAATCATTCAAAAACAAAGGAGCTCCTAGGAAACGGTTTGGCATTTAGGATAGTTGAAACTAACATGAAGAATGCACCGCTTGCTAATTTCTTAGGGGCTAATAGCATAGGTTGAGTGAAGAGCAGGTATAGGGCAAACCTGCTTTAACAAAATCATTCAAAAACAAAGGAGCTGCTAGGAAACCGTTTGGCATTTAGGATAGTTGAAACTAACATGAAAAATGAACCGTTTGCTAATCTGTAGGGGCTAATAGAGTAGGGTGAGTGAAGAGCAGGGTGCAAAACAAACTAATACCAAATATTTGTTGTCAGAGGCCCAAGGCTAAATCGGAAGAACATCATGCCAAGATAAGTAGTACTTTTATGCCCTATTGAATTCTTGAACCGTTTACACTTTTCTAGAAATTGTTCTCATGTAAAATCAAATGGTCTATTTATTTTCTTTCGGAAGACTACACTATATGCGGGTCCACTTTCTGATGTCCATACAAATTTAGCTCCAGCGCATACATCTACATAAGTAAATAAGCCAACAATTCCAGTCATGCTGTACCCAATGTTGTACAATAATATTCACAGCTGAGAGCACTAAACTAAGCAGGACTGCAGATGATGCAAGGATTGAACCAATCATGCAGCAGCAACAGTGTGACGTTCCACACAAAGAGTAGATCGACGGCAAACATCTGCTATCTTGTACTTTTACATGGGAGAGGAGCAGTTCAACAACTAATGATGGTCATGCCAAATCACACTAGCACTACTCACATGAACTTAAGTACTGAACTAAGCATAGAGCATGATCCAGCAGCAGCAAAAAGAAGGACCAGGGCATAAAGATCTTCTTACTTGTAGGGTGAAGAGCCTGTCCTCGAACTGCACCTCCTTGGTGAGGAAATCGGCGCCGATGGTAGCCTTGTACTGGTTGCTGAACTTCTTGTTCACATATCTGAATTAAATCAAAGCTCAAGGAAACACAAGCCAAAACAACTACTTATACTCCAGTACAAAATCCAATCTGTCCGGAACGAGACAAGCTAAACTGGGCGCAATTATCGCATCTCAACGCGAATCTCAGGATACTGGTTCATCAAGGACGTCTTCCCAACCCTAG